GAACACACCTGCTATTATTAATCTCCTCTGCACATACAGCAGAGTGACATTGACAAGGCTTTTAGATGTGAGGCTCATGAGGAGAAAGAAGGAGTTGGGATTGGCATGTTGTATCTTCCTCTCAGACTTTACCTCCTCATAGCAATTAACGACCACAAAAACCTATGGAACAACCTGGGCCAGGATTAATAAACCTCTATCACAAGTCATTACATTGAGCCTTGGAGCGGATTATCCCTGTCCACTGAATGGAAAGGGATGGACATATATATAACCATTTGAAAAAGTTGATAATGGAAAATGGCATGGGGCATATACCTAGGTAACAGTTATTGGAATAGACATGTAGGTCCAGGACCTAATGTGTACAGAATCACTCAGAGGGAAATCCATGTGTTCCTGCCGGTGAGACGAGAAAGAGCTTTTGTTTTTAACTGATGAGATTTCCCGGAGGAGAAAAACCTTGCACTCCAGATATTGGAATTGATTTGCTTCTCTGCAGTGATCCAGATATTTACCTTCTAGCTAATTGCAAGAGGCAAGGCCCATTCGGTGTAGACGGAATAAGACTCACAGAGGAGCAATGCATTTTCTTCTATGGCTTTTGGAATGACGCCACACCTTCCATTTAAAAGGTTCAGCTCATTGCAAGTGCACAGAATTGTCCAAGGCGACCTGAAATGATCCAAAAGCAGTCTTCACTTTGGTAAAAGTGTTGAAAAGATAGTTTTAGGGACTGTTGGCAAACACAAGTAGTATCCTCAAGTTATTCTATAATTGAGTTTCAAGATGGATCTCTTGAAAAAAATATTTTTTTTCCTACCATTATGGATATTAGTTGCCCCGGACAAGCACTAATATGCTGCTTCATCATCAGCCCACTTCACATGAGGATCAGGGACAAAATCACAAGTAGATAATTCTTTAAGCTCGACCCATTCATTGAAACCCCTTGAGTCCTGAAGTGAACACATTTTCTTGATTGCATGATGTGGCTGATTATTTCAAATACACTTGTTGAAAATCCTTTTCAGTCTCCCTCAGGAAAGTTGAAACTACATTATTACAAATGTCCGATTCAACCTCACACTTGACATGGTTACCAGTGAGCCAAATGAGGGACGGCACAGGATGCATTTCCTCTGATTTAAACAGATTGTATGCAATTTGTAGGTCACTCAATGTCATAATGTATGTGACTTGTCTATGTTTTACAGATCAGGAGCGGATAGGAAAGAACTCCACTTATGAGCAGGAGGGAAAGGTTCAGTTTGTAATTGATGCAGTGTATGCGATGGCTCATGCCCTGCACAACATGCACCAGGAGCTCTGCCCGGGGACGGTGGGCCTCTGCGCTAAAATGGATCCCATCAATGGCACTCATCTGCTCAAGCACATCCGCCGTCTCAACTTTGCAGGTCAGTCCCGTAACTTGTTAATACAGGAATGCATGTGTTTCAACTTTCAAAATGAAGACCAAATGTTAACATCCACCCTATGGCCAATTACCCAGCGTCACCTTGTAAACGCCTCAGTTCGAGAGGCTGTAAGGGCTTGAAATGGTAAAAACTGGAGTGGGACAGCACAACTGTTCAATTCCCAGATCCTGCAACCCACATACATGTGTGCCTCAGTAAGATATTCAAACCAAAATTGGTCGCGATGGCCAACGGTGTGCGAATGGGTGTGAATCTGATTCTCCCTGAGCAAGTGGAACCTTGTACAGTAAAGCAGCCTCTGCCTCTGAATGAATAGGCGTGAATGGGTGACTGTTTATCTGTATCTGTAGAAGCACTTTGAGGGGTTGTAACAACTGGAAAAGCACTATCAAAATGAAAGAGTTCATTGTTAAATAATCAATTGTTTTGGAACAGCATTATTGAGCAAAATGAAAATAAATTGTTAATAATAAGAAGGTTATAAAGCCAGGCTTACATTCCTTTGATCACATATGTTTTATGTTCCTTAATGTTAATGCTTCATGTACATGTAATATACCTGGCTTACCTCCCTCCTCTTTATTTACCTTTCTTTTAATGCCTTCAAATTATGATTTGTTGTTCAATTCTATCAGCCATAGTCCGCAGAAATGGCTTTAAATGTCTGCAAGGACCCTCGAGCCCTTTAAGGAATTGACAGTAGAACTGATCTAAACCAACGTAATCTTTCCAGGAGTAATTGTTGTTCACCTGGAAACATTGGAAGGATGTAAATCAAATCTATTTCACGTGCTGTACATTACCTCAAGGGTCTTGGAAAAAGTCAAAAATCAAAAATATATTTCCTCCATATAGACGTCACCAAAATGTCATTCTTCACAAACCAGAATCTTGGTTTCTTTCTTCTCTTGTATGACACATTTTCAATTTCCTCCCAGTGGCTACATGATACCAAGCTATCAGTCAAGTTTGCGTTATGACTATTAATGAACTGCTTTCACACAAAGAGCAGTGATCCACAGTTTCATTTTATAAACAAAAGCAAAGCAATTAAAGACAATTCAAATTCCTTCTCAGAGTCTTGAGTATGCAGTGTTTGTATGGATAAATTATTCATTTGAACTCCTGCTCTTCAAGCTAATTTGTCATACTTCTTGCATTGGCAAAATGTCAATCAATGTTTAATTCATCTCTGAGAAGTAAAATAAATAATGATTTAAAAATGGGTGATTTAAAGGCATTCACGTCACAGAAGATCAGGTTCATTTTACTAATGAAAGAGAGGATGCCACTGTAAAACACACCACTAAAGTCTCCCTGCACCACTGCTGCCAAAGGAAATCACAAGCCATTAGTCCAATGTGTTGTTCTCTAGTATCTAGTATCAGACAACAATATGGTGCTCGATGTATTAGTCACATGACTCATCTCACTTCCTGATCCTGTATGCACTGCTGTTTATCCTTTGTGTTTGTTTTGGCGAATCAACTTGCATTTGAATCCCTGAGCACACTTTTAAATGAATGGAAAATGTAAGGGATTAATCATTGAAGATGCCTCTATATATAGGGGTTTCTTCCTTTTCCTGCAGTGTGTTATATAGGTTTTGGTGCATGTACATGGTCTGTAAAGGCTAAAATCCTAAAGTTCCCTCCAGAGGGAGTTTCCCTCCCACACACCATTTACATGCATAAAAACCTATATAACACACCTGCCTGAAATGCTTCCATTGGACTCCTTCACTTACTTTTATGATATAATGAAATCACTATGTATATTTGTGCTTCTATTGGCTAGCGCTCCAACAAATTGTACATGATAAGCTAAGGAGCGGCACATTTCCGACACATCTCTAAGATCTTGACCAATCACAACAGAGCTGGCCAGCAAACCAATCAGAGCAGACTGAGCTCTGGTTTCAGACAGAGGGTGAAAAGAGGTGCTGCAGCACAGGCAGTATGAGACAAATAAAGACATTTTTGAACATTAAAGTGAAAGCCTTTTATTGTCATTATACACAGAGTACAACGAGATTCAGAGTGCAACTCTGTCCCAGTGTGCAAAAAATACAGACACATACATAACACTAAAAAACACGGCAATAGGACAGACAACATAAACAATCATACAGGGGGAATACATAGTTAAAAATATTGATATAAAAATAGTATATGAAGTGCATTAAAAGTGTGTGTATGTGTGAGGATGGTTACGGTTATTGCATTATGTGTGGTGGTTAAGCAGCCTGACGGCCCAGGGGTAGAAACTGTTTTTGAGTCTGTTTGTCCGTGACTTGAAGCTCCTGTATCTTCTCCCAGAAGGCAGGAGAGAGAACAGTCTGTGACCTGGGTGAGAGCTGTNTGGTACTTCATCTGAAATACATCAGGTTGTGGAATAAAATCAGGGATTGTCAATAAACACTGTACTATTTTTGAATAAGATAGGTAAAAAGCATCATACGTTGCCTGCGAACACAACCAAATATAATGGGTTTGTTCTGGTCAGATTTCTCAGCAAACCACCATTTGAAGCAGCTTCTCAAGATTTGATCTAAGCTACTTTCACCTGTTTTTTATGATTCAATAGTAGCCCTGAACACTGGGCTTGAAATATAAAATTCTTGCAGCCTCAGGTGACATACACCGATAAACAACGGAGTCTGCATGTTACCATATTTCTAGAAACATAAATTATAACTTGGAAAAATTAATCTTTTTATATTTTGTCATGTTGCTTAAATGCTTAGCTCAGATTCTCCATAAATAAGATAAGAAGAACTTTATATGATCGCAAGTTGGGAATGTTTCTGTTCCATCCTCTGTAAAGGCCGCTACCACAGCAACCTGAAGAGCAAAGAACCGCGTTACCGAAAGGCGTCCGACTTTTACGTCGCTACGTCGGCCTACGCCGGCCCGCCTAGGAACACAGCCGCAAGACTTCAGTTTTGACAAAGTGGCAATACTGTCATTACAAGCAGGGCAGCGTAGTGTGTATTCGTCATTCAAAAGAGCAAGCACAACCGCCACCCGGAAGACAGACTATAACACAAGAGACGAAGAAGAAAGGCTCGTGATATAAACAAACAAACAAACTAGCGTCTGGGTTCCATTTTCACTGCTCTCACGATCCAGACTCGAACAAACATGTAACACATAAAATCGACAATTAGCGTCCAGGTGGGATGAAAATGAAAAAAGATAAGCCGTCTGTGTGTGGCTTCTTAATCGTTTGTTTTGTGCCTTCACTTCGGCTTCGCTTCTCGCTAAGCTGAACAGCCAATCAGAGTGATTTCTTTGTGCCGCGACTCTCTCTGACTCCCCGTGGCCAGATTCACATGTTGAATCGGCCGAAGGGGAGGTGTGAAAATGTGCCGTAAAGCAACGACGGTGCGGGACACACCAACCTGACTAGGGCGCCGCGAATGCCCGACTGCCTCTGACGGCCTCTGACTCCCAAAATCGGGTAGGTGTGTCAGGGCCTTAACACCAACAATGCAAGCTATACAAGCTGTGATAGCCTGACGAGTATTGACTACCAAACAGACAACACAATATTGATGTGGTACTGATTAAATAAACTACAACATTTACTTTGATTGCTGCCATTGATTGCATCACTGTTTAAAAACAAATATGGCTTTCATTGACTATCACTTATCCTCAGATGAGGCAGAGCGACCCAGAAGTGGTCACAGCACTGACCCACCGGCCATGGAGCCTGAGTCAGTTGGGAGACGGTGCCTCCCGATTCTCGTCGCCATGGAAACACAGTTGGATGACAGTATTGGACGTGATGTTGGACTGGGCGCACCATCACGTGCTGTGGAAGCTCTGTGGCATCTCAGCCTTCCTCGTACAGAAGAACTTTATCTCACCGTGAGTAGATGGACACCTTTTTGGATCACATGATATTCAACCACTAAAGAATAAGAGTAACTGTTAATAACTGAGTTTCTGTCTGCAGGGAATATGTCCAGTACTGGGCCCAGAGGAGGGTAGAAGTGGTAGCATGGACAGTCAACACTAAAGTGGAGAAGGACTACTACCAGGAGCTGCTGCAAGTCAACTACATCACAGACAGCCTGGTGGAGGACTGTGACCCCCATTACTGAGAAACATGAACCCAGCACAGGATGTGATCACACACACACTGATTAAAAAGATCAGATCTGTACGGACCATTTCATTTTTCTAATTGTCAACCAAAATGGGGCACCAGGTAAGAGAACAAGTGCCACTCTTTTCTTCTCATGCACATGTCACATTGTGAATGTGTGCATGTTAGTTTGAGGCAAACGAACCAGACAGGGTGCTAAACGTAATAACAAGGGACATGGTATGCATTTATAGATATTTTGGTGTCTATAATCATCCAAATGTACTGTATTCACCAACTCAGGACTGCAATGATTGTTTTCCTTGTAATGATGTATGTTCTTCTGTATTTCAAGTCCCACAGTGCAGTATCACACACTGTCTGGGCTTTTTTACCAATAAACATTTCATGTCTTTTACCGAAGCAAATAAGGGAATGTAGAACTAATGGTGACTTAAGGTAAGAGTAAACATATGGTGACTTTTTGACTTTGCATGACTTTGCTATGTGGTTATTTTATTCAGGTTCTTATATTAATCTTTAAATTAAAACAATTTAAATTGCTTTTATGGTGTCACACTTCTGGACCCTACTGTAACTGGGGAGTTAGAGTAAGGTTTTGAGCCCCGTCATTGTGCTGGAGTTGGTAGATAAGACAGATAGAGTACTACTGTTGATAAGCTTTATGACCCCAATATCAACCTTACTTGCATTATGTCTTATTTGGTCTAAGCAGACTTGACAACCTAAAAAAGAAAATGTGGAAGGCTTATTTCCCTGTTAATAAAATAAATACATCTATTTCATTTCATTTGATGCATAGTGGGCAGCAGGGTGACACAGTTCAGTTGTGTGAGCTGACATTCTACAGCCAAGACGTATGTAGGAAATGATATGCTGTGTTGGATATCACCCTGGATAAGCCTGTCTGAGCCGCTTCTTGTCTCGGTTGATTTTCAGCTACGAACCACAGACAGTAGAGTAACTCAGCTGATTTTCACCCAAAAGACGAAGATTTACAGTGATAAATCTTAAATCTAATATATCAAAGATCGTACAGGGAAGCTACAAAGGGATGCAACAATATATGCCCTTATACTGTATGAATGTTACAGTGGAGGGTCTAAAACTGAAGATACAAAAGTAACTAAATAAATATATATAATACTTTTTAAAGCTTTTTTTGTCACACCATGCATTCAATATTTACAATAAGAGTTAAATGGTACATTATGCAGTCTCTTGGTTATTGCTAAATGAGTGTGCAGAAAAAGGCCACTGTTACTTGACTTTTTCTTCTACACGTCTATCCATCTGAGCGTTTGGTTTAATACTAGGCTTGTTTGTATCGAAAGCCTAAAGTGCCACTATTCGCCCGTTTAAAACGCGCGTTTTTTCTAAAAAACGCGTGTTTTACGCGCGTTCTTGACGCGTAAAAAACGCGCGTTTTTTAATATGATAATGAGCCCCACCTTCTGTTTTGCATAGCCAGTACATTTAAAGTGTGTGCAACCAATCAGTGAAGAGTTAAGCCAGACTAAAGCAATCTGTTGATGAAAAGTTCCTGTAACCTACCACATTGTGAGATTTAGACATGACACCTGACGGGAAATACAGTGAATTGGTACACACTGTGAATATGAGTGGGAAAAATGTGTGTAATAAATGCTTTTTAGACAATAAGAAATATAAAGTTAACTCAACTAAAGTTGCTCAGCATATTTTTGTTATTGTCAATACTATTACTGCATANGGCAGAGAAAACCAACGGCTGCCCCCTGCCCTCTCTGGAATACATCTCCACCTCCCGCTGCCGCAGCAGAGCTAACAAAAGAATAAAGGACAGCTCTCACCCAGGTGAGAGCTGTCCTTTATTCTTTTGTTAGCTCTGCTGCGGCAGCGGGAGGTGGAGATGTATTCCAGAGAGGGCAGGGGGCAGCCGTTGGTTTTCTCTGCCATCCTGATCACTCTCTGCAGGGCTTTCTTGTCCGCAGCTGAACATCCTGCATACCACCCTGAGATGGAGTATGATAGCACGCTCTCGATGGTCATGAAAAGCATGTTCTGCACAAATTGTGCTGTTGTATTTACTGTATAGTGTCCTTACTGTAAGGTAATTATTATATGTACAGCACTTTGGCTCGACCAAAAATCGTTTTTAAAATGTGCTATATAAATAAAACCTGATTGGATTTGATTGATTTGATTTGATGTAAACATTTCACAGAAGGGGCACAAAATACAAATATGAACCCGAAAATAAGCATAATATACCTTCAAAAATAAGAGTTTTTCAGGCAAAATGTATGGGGAAAGCAAACCTACATTACTACACAGCTACATCCATAAAATCAAACAGAAAGGGCCCGCAAACATACCCTCAAAAAAGTATCCTGGTTGTTGTACCCAGATTTAAAAACAGTTCCTAGAAAGCTGTCTTTCAGCTTCTGTGTCGACTGATGTCAGCGGGATATCGCTTCTGATTTGTTAGCTTCCAATTCAACTAAAGAACAATCCCCTCCTTTATGGAAATTGTATTACATGGACACCATGTCAGACTGAACAAAGGAAGTAAAACAAAAAGTCATGTGAGTGTCGGATTCGGATAGTGATATAATTATTAAAGGTAGTTTTTCAACATCACGTATACACAAAAATAACAGAACGTCTAAGAGCTTTATAAAGATATACAGCCTTATATATAGTCTCTTTATTTCAAACCATTTGTTATTCAAAAGCTACTTTCAGGGTCACTTTCATTGTATGTTTTTATTTTAGTGAGAGAGTATGTATAGAGTTTTTATTTATTTAGAATTGACATTGCGTGTAAATACAGTACAGTATATGGTTATAGTACAAATGTCCTCGTGTTCAAACAGTATCCTTCCAACAAAATACCCAACACTTGTTCAGTTCATGATCAATATAAAGCCATCGAGTTAATCAGGTAGAACAAGTAAACTATCCCCCTCCACAAAAACAAGCTTTAATACGGCCCTCACCTCCAACTTCACCAGCTGAGCGGCTCAAAATCCGATAGCATGCAGGAGGAAAACAGCTGATGGACCGCTGTTCCCAACAGGCAGCATGTTGGGCTTAATGATTCTCACTGTTGTAAAACAGCTTCTCTCTTTCCCAGACAAAACATCTTCTCTATCTCTGTCTGAGTAACCGAGGTGAATGTCATTTTCAACAAAGGCTTGTGCTAGTTTACCAGTTGCACACACCGTTTGTAATGTTAATTCTAGCTTGATATCATTTTGTTTCACACAAATGAGCCTGGCACAAGTTAAGAGTTAGAGTAGTTTAAAAATGCAACAACTCTCTGGAAAACATGGCAGCTTTTATTTTGTATTTCTTTTTTTCATCTTATTTTTTTATTTTAGGAACTATTTGCCGCAGAAAAAAGGATGACATTGAGTGCATACTTTAAAATATGTCAATGATGGATAAAATATTCCAAATAGAGAGTACGAGAGCACCAGGTTAATATAAAGCGACGTCGGCCTATCTTTTCAGGCTTGCAAATTGGAATAGCACAACAGAAACATAGATCTGTTTTTTATTTGATTCTTTGCACAATGACGATTGAGTGGTGCTCTTTTCAGAAAGTGGCTTTGACAAGATATTTAGCCGCTAAGTTTAGACATACATTTCCAGTGCAGTAGATCCTTTTGAACTGAATTTTGTTCTGAGCAGGCAAAATGTATTAATGTTTCAACACCATCTGACCAGAGGGGTTGCCTTAAGGTTACGCTATACACTCTATCTGATTGCATCAGCACACAGCAGTATATTGAACTTGTCCAGATACATAAAACAACCTCACTGCGGAGACCCGGCTTGCCAGATTGTATTTTATATTATCAAAGGTTTTCATATTTATCTCTGTTGTGATATTAGTACGTTACGCACCAGTAAACACACAGCATAGTCATCTGTTTTTTCTTGCGGACAAATAGCAATCGCAAGAAATTGATGTTAAACTAGGTCATTTTTCGTTGTTGTTGTGATGAATCACTCTTCAGGCTGAGCCAGCAAGAGCCTATTGTTACACATTTCTGTTTATCGTCAGCAGTTCTAGTGGACATCGGCTAAAAATAATTTACATTTCTTCCTCCGCAGAGAAGCACAGCCATGAGGAGTTGAGTAATACCATATCCATAGCACATGTTCTGTGTCTTAGATTTCACATGTAATCAAACTCAGCTGATAAAGGTCAATGTCAAAGAGCCTCCTAAAAACCTAAGGCATTCATATTGGCCATACATACACCTGGCACGCTCCAAAAGCCATTGTTCTGCGACATCTCCTCGGGCTGTCAGGGTCTCTACAGGGGACACGGAATGATAGTCGATGACAGATAACCTTTAAAAAGAGGAGAGGTAATGGGACTGAAGTGTTTGCTGCTGGGCTGGGATATTTTGCACTCGTCTTGGAGTAACTGCATGAGAAACAGTACAAAGTCAAGGTGCTTGGTATATTTCCATTTCATACAACTTCTAATCTAATCCGCTTCATCTGTGTGACAAATATTTAACTTCACTAAATGTATCTGAAGGCTTTTGTTACTTTTCAGATTCAACTTTTTCCTCCAATTTTTGTCAACCAGTTTTCTCCAGATTTGTTGATTTATAATTTGAATGTCTTGGTTTAACTCAAGGACAATGTGAAGGACCTTTTGATGTATCAAGAAATGTATCCTTGTTATTAAGTTAAACAAGCTCTTTAAAACTTCGCTCAGCAGGAAAATGCATCGGCACACAACTGAATAAACATAAAAGCAATCTACAGCTTCTAAATGCAACACTCAGACACCTCTGGTCCATATTTACGTGCCGCTTGACTCTATTCAGAGCCTTCTTTCTTGTTTCCGCCTCTGCATTCAATGTGTCTAAGAGTTATTCAGACTCCAATAGGCCACAATTGAATGAAGCTCCTCATCAGTGTTTCATGTCTCTCGCTGTCACGTCAGGGAAAAGTGCTTTTGCTCGGCCTGAGAGTAAAAAGCAGGGTCCTCTCTGCAGTCGCTCTCACCAGGGACGGCTGTTGTGACTGTGGAATAGAGACGAGATCTGAAGGTTTTCCCATCGCTGCACACCTATCTCTCTTTTCTCAGGCACATCTTCATTGTGTGCAGCTCAAAAGATGCTTCCAGTAGACAGCTTTTTAGCATTATGCAAAAATGTCAGTTTTGCCAGACACACAGACCTGTTTATGATGTCACAGACCTGTTATTCACAAAAATGTATGACTATCTGGATCTCAATATGACAAGAATGGACAGCTTTAAATAGAAAGCCCATTCATCATAGTGTGGTAAGGTAACTGAAGAACCTGTTATACACACACTACAAGAAATATAGAAAGGTAGAGTAAAGCCATGTTAAACTAAACAGCAGAACCATGAGCTCTCTTGTAGGCGAGACATGAATTTTTCCGCATTTTTTAAGTATTTCTTATCGTATTTAAGTTGTTTTGTTTTTTTTTGCTTCTCCATTTTGTAACCCTGTTCCCATTTGTTAAAGCAAGCAAGCAAGGCAAAGCAAATTAATTTAAACTGCAAATCAGGACAAGGCAATTCAAAGTGCTATTCAATACACATTAAAAGCATTGAGATATAGCGCATTAAAATATATTTACAAACAGCAAACAAATAAAATAAGCTCAAATAGAATAGTATTCAGGTATAAAGTACAATAATAAAAGTTAGAGTGCAATATGTGATATGAATAGTTATTTGATTTAATAGAACACATAGTCAAAAAGAATAGTCTTGCAATTAAAGCAAGACTATGTATCTTTGGAAATAAGATACAACACAATCTTTCAATAAAAAAGTAAAGAAATGCAGCCTTACTTGATTTAATACATCTGATGATGGCTAATGTAAGACTACATCCATTGCTGACTTGATGACTCATCTCTACTGTAAAGGCCCTGACACACCTATCCGATTTTGGGAGTCGGAGGCCGTCGGAGGCAGTCGGGCATTCGCGGCGCCCTACTCAGGTTGGTGTGTCCCGCACCGTTGTTGCTTTACGGCACATTTTCACACCTCCCGGCCGATTCACATGTTGAAATCGCCAAAGGAAGTCGGCAAAGAAATCACGTTATTGCTGTTGACCCTTTGGAATGACAATACACACTACCGCTGCCTGCTAGGTAAGGACAGCTTATGCCCTACTCGTCGACTGAAGTCTTTGCGGTGTGTCGTAGGCGGGTGGCATAGCGACGTACGACGTAAAATGTGGACGCCTTCGGTACGCGTTTTTGTCTCAGGTGTGTGTACGAGCCTTTAGTATACCCTTGTCACTTTAAACGGTCCCCTATTTTACTGTTTTTCATCAGATATATACAAAACATGTCTCTGAAGTGTTCGGCTCCACATCCAAACAGATCATTGTAGGCATCCCATAATCCCCTTGTTTCAGCCCTGTTCAAAGTCGCTGATGTCTCTGTCTGTTACTTAGATGAAAATAAGGAGGCCCCTCCCCACGCCCTCTGAGAGAGATTGTTTAAAAAATAACACAATGTGCTCTAGGAGGAGATTCA